CGGGGGAGCAGCAGGCGAGGCCGGAGGCCGCCGGTCCTCCTTGCGCCCCGGGAGTTCCCCGGTGCCTGGCTTCATGCGGGAATGACATAGGGAATTCTGGGGAGCTTCTCTGCAAAATCCAGAGAACATCTGTTAGATTTTTTCGAGCTGTTTGTTAACAGTTTGATTACTTTCAAAATCCATTTCTAGCCTTATTGTTGCGTTTCCGTGCTGCAAAGAGCTGCCAAACGTGGGTCTGGGAGCTGGGTTAGCACAGCGGGAGCTTCCCCGGCCGGAGCGACGCGCGGGAGGCCGCCTCGTCCGTGCTCGCAGCCCGAGAAGCAGCAGGCCGCAAACGAGCAGCCTGGGCAGCCTGCTAGGAAGCTGTTCTTCCGCGTGCCTTTTTAATTCAAACTGTCTAATTTACACGTCATCAGCATATAAGTTAGGTTATACGGGTATAGGACTATTCTATAAGCTGCCTGGAATTTAAAGGCTGTGATAAAACTGTGAAGTATCGCATTAAATTGAGTAGCTGTGGCGGAAGGGCCACCTAGTCTTAATTGTCCCTATGGAAATACTGCTGGAGTTTTCAGTACCAGGAGCTGCTGCTGAAGACCCCTGGTTTGTGTGTTTTATCTGCGTTGCAGACACCTGAGCTGGAATGGGACTATTAAGTGCTCCTTGCTGGGGTTCCTGGCTTGTTTCAAAGCCCTCTCTAGCGATTCTTAGAGTTTTAGCTCCAAGTTCAATCTATCAGCAGCACCTCAACAAATTGACCTGAGGTTTATTTGGAGGTGGTACGTGGCCATCCTCATTAAAGGTGCTGATTGGGGCTGGTCTTGGTGCATGTGCCCAGGGCCCAGTGTTGCTTTTATTTCTTCGTGTCAGAAATGATTTGGGGTGTGTTTCGTGAAGCTCTGCTGCTTCCTTGCCTCTGGAGCTCAGTCGTTTTGTTTCTTCTTGCAGAACTACACGCAGTATATTCCGCTCTCCATATACGACCTGCAGACCTGGATGGGCAGCCCTTCCATTTTCGTCTATGATTGCTCCAATGCCGGCCTTATCGTGAAGTCCTTCAAGCAGTTTGCACTACAGAGGGAGCAGGAGTTGGAGGTGAGACCGCAGTGCGCTGCAGAGGGCTCATTTGTGCCTATTTCCCTCCACTGAACATTAAGATTCGATCTAGGTTCTAATGGCTGCAGTTGGGCTAAGTTTAGGCTTGCTTTGCTATGCACCGCTGAAAAAAAATGTTTAAAATTACATTAAAAGCAAATTAATTTGGAAGTAATCATGCTATTCCAATCTTTCTGCTTCAGTTTGCTATCCTATTAAAGTCAGAATAATTTTTAACACAAGCACTAATTAAATGGTAGTGTTAATAGAAACAGTTTGTGCCCTGGTGATCTTTTCTGCTGGGATAAATGCTGAGGTGACCCAGACAGATTTATTTTGGATGCAGAATCTGGTAGCTGGGTGTGTACTTGGACGCAGTTGGTGTTTTGTGCTGTTGAACCAAATGGGCAACTGTTAAACAAAATGATCTAACTCAGGTACCCAGAGGACCCGTGACCGGTGCTTTCGGGTTCACAGAATGCCTAAGCTCAGGGTGTTTCTAATGACAGGCTGCCTTTCCTTGCAATTACTAGTGCATCATTACTAGTGTAATTACTAGTACGTTCATTGAAGTCAACCTGAAACACAGAGTGGAAAATAAGTTAAGGATCGTTGTGTAGCAGCCTGGGGTGGCAACACTCTGCTGCCAGACGTTCCTGCTAGCCCGAGCCCATGGAGAATGCACCTTTTTTAAGGGTTAACTTCTTTCACTCTTGTGATTCTAAACATTCTATATGACACATGCATATTTACTTCAAGGAAGCGATGCCTGGATTTAATTCATTTCAGTCTAAATTATAATTTCTGGGTATGTTTTTGTGTTGACTTTTTTGACAAGCAGACATTTCTTTCTAGTGAGGGAAGCCAATGTAAGATCTTGAGAAATGCAGAGCTTTCCATCATACCCTCTCTTTTCCAGTGACAATAACACGTTCTCTGCACAGCTGTGAGACTTTGCAAGCTCTGTGGTAGAGAGGAGCACGAAGCTGCAAGGCACGGAGCAGTAGGAGCAGTAGTACTGGCAATAGATGCATTTTGAAGGTTGCCATCTTCTTAGTTCTCGGCAGACACGCAGTGGCCATCTGCTCTTTGACTTTCTGAAGTTCTTCTGGCAGCTTCTGACTTGTATTGCTCTATTTTTGCAACCTTTTTCTTCTGTTTAATGCACTCTTCTTCCTTTTTGTTTGTTTTCCCATTCTGATCCTAAACAGATTAAAATGGAGCCGGTTTTTCCCTTCCCAGCTTTCCTCACAAGTTTCCTTTTCTCTTGTGCTTTGCTGGGCTCCAGAAGGCCCTGGCGCTGCCCGGGGAGCAGGGCAGTCCTGGGCAGCAAAATCAGGTTTGACCCCAGCAAAATGTAAAATTCTGCTTGCTTGGTGTAGGGGCTTGGTTTGTTTTGACCAAATATGTGAGGTTTCATAGTAAAACTGATCTTATTTCTTTGCTTTCCAACACTGATTGAAAACAACCAGCTCATTTGATTATGGAAACACTTTCAGGTTTGCGTGTCAGCCCTGTGCTCTCTGCGCCTCCCCTGACCTGGTAACTGCTTCATTTTACACAGAGCAGAAGGGCTCCTGCTGCAGACCAGGCTGGGGGCTGCTTCCCACAAAAGGGGCAGCCCTGGGGTAGCCCCTGGCTCAGCACAACGATGGATTTGCAGATCGGAAGCCCGTCCAGCAGTGGGATGTGGATGCAGGGGCATGTCAGGAATGGTGGGAAATCAATTTGAATGTTTTTTTTTTTGCAGTTGATGCTGCCTGTGTGTCTTTGGATTTTGCCGTAGTATTTCTGACAGAAAGCTGCTGTTTTCCTTTCGAGACAGAACCTGGCCCAGGCTTGCGGAAACGGGAGCTCCTGCTGTTTGCTTCCCGATCCATGTCCGGTTTGGCAGCGCTGGGAGCGCGGTGGCCGGAATGCTGGCACGGGCAAGGCGCGGAGCGCCGGCTCGCAGGGATTTGACCTCATGCCGTTGTGAGGAAGAGGCAGCTGAAACGGTGTCTGCAGAGCAGGCAGCAGCCCAGTTAGAAAGCACCTTGCACAGGCCTTCCCTTGAGCCACACGCAAGGGGAGTGCAGGCACTGGGTGCTCTTAATCATCTAATTAACTGGCTTTGATGGCCTGCGCGCGTGTATAAATAAAAAGCCTAATTCTCTAGAACTGTGGTTTAAGTGAGCTGTGCTAGCAGCGCTGCAGCAGTAGGCTGGTTGATTCTGATGGATTCTCTGGATAATTGTGCTCTTTGTCTCCTGCCTCACGGGCGTTTGCGCGGCGAAGGGCACGTCCAATGCGTGCAGCAGCGAGGGCCGAGACGCGTCTCCCAGGGCTTGCTTGCCTGCAAGCCACAGCCTCCATCTTTTTATCTACATAAATAAACATATATACACTTGAAATTTCCCAACTTTTTCCTCCCAGCTGCGAGGGCTGTTTTGTTCCTTGGGTGGCGATGCCGTTTTGCTGTGGGGGTGCTGGCTCTGCTTTGCCTCCAGCAGGATACATGACTAACGCTTCCTAACCGGCGCTGGAGAACTCCGAGTTTTTATCTTTCCGTCTTGAACATTAATTCTCCAAAAATTAGCCTAATGGCAGCACAGCAGAATGTTGTCTGGCATTAGCATCGTGTCTGGGGGGGAATTTTTCTAATCCACCATCTGCTGGGAGAAAGGAACATCTTTCCTGGAGCTGCATTAATATCTGCCGCATGGGAAGCGGATTCTCAGAGCAGAAATTGTGTGAAACTCGGCGGTCTGGTCAACACTGAAAATAACAGCGACTCGCAGCTTCTGCGCGAGGCCAAGGTTCCTCCCCAGTTTAACTTCAACACGGCTGCTAGTGCAAACAGAGCCGTGTTCCCCATCCAGCGTTGGCTTCCCGTGCTGCTCTGTGCGCGCAGGCTTTTCAGGGACGTAGGTGCCGGAGCCACGTGCTCCTCTTGTGGCTCTCCCTTCTCTTGGCCACGGCTGGACAGCTCCAGGTTTATAAATCTGTATAAAGCTGATGCTTCTCCATCCCCTTTCTTAGGTTTTTCTCCTCAGATAGAAAATCTTTTCTGCGTAGCAATTCCTTTTGTAAGTCCTAAGTCTGTGCTTTGGAGGGGACATGAATCCGCAGGAGTTTAATTTCTTTGCCCGGTCACTTCAGGTCATTTCAAATTGCAATTTTTTGCGTTGAGTATTGTCAAATACTGTAAAATATATGAGTTGAAACATAACTACAACTGTTACTATTGTAGCTTTAAACTTCTCTGAATGCAGAGCGCCGTTGAACCCTGGCTGTTCTTCATTCATTCGTTTTTTGAATGGTACAGAGGTTAGCCTCGCTTTCCCAAATAACTGAATTCATCAATTGAGTTCTTTGATCTCCCCAGGTGGCTGCAATTAACCCAAACCATCCGCTTGCTCAAATGCCGCTGCCGCCCTCCATGAAGAACTGCATCCAGCTGGCAGCGTGCGAAGCCAACGAGCTGCTGCCCATGATCCCCGACCTGCCGGCCGACCTCTTCACGTCCTGCCTTACTACCCCCATCAAAATCGCCCTGAGATGGTAAGCGCTGCCCTGAGGTGCAGGAAAATGCATCATTCATGAAGCTGGTCTGGTGAAATGAGAGATTTGTTAATCCGGATGCTTTACCTAAGTTAGGCTGTTTCTGAAGTATTGAATTACAAGATTTGAGCTATGCATTTGAGACATTTTATTAATCAGAACTAGGAAGGTGAAAATATACTTATCTTCTACTTATTGCACTTTAGATTCCACCTGGATATCTAGGTTTGCTCAGATTAAGGGATTTGCTATTCTGGGAATTAAGTATCTGCCTCTTCAGGAAGCAGAGGTAGCACACAGTACAATACAACTTTTGATAAATTGTCTTTTGTGCAAATTATATTCCAAATATTGCAGTTAACCATAAATAATTTGGTAGTATTAAGGAATACTGTGGTGAAAAGAAATGAGCGATAAACAAGAGCAAGCTGTTGTGGGTGACATAGCCTGTTGGTCAGGCAGCGAGCCGTGACGCGTCGCGAGGTGCCCGGAGAGCAGCATCCCCCAGCAGTCCCCTGGCAATGACCCCGCACAGCTCATTGCACCTCATCCTCTCCATGTTGTTTGGGATGCAGAATGAAAGACTCCAGGTCACTAATTAGCCCAGGCTAAAGTAAGCAGAGCTGGAGAGATGTGCAGTGAAGTTCCTTTAAGGAAACGTGACAAAGATGGGGTGTTGTAACCAGGAAGGTGCAGCTCCAGGGCTCTAGTTTTCATGTGGGTGCTCTCGGACCCCTGCTATCCCCAGAGCTGGAGGTGAAGCAAGCTGAGATTGCTGCTGCTTCTGTCGCTGGAACAAGGCTTCAAAATGCAACCAAGCAACCCACGTGGTCAGTTCAAGCCTAGTAGATGACAGAGAAAGTAGTTTGGCAAATACAAATGACTGCAGCTTTTAAAAATGTGTATTTTTTCATTGAGTGGTGTCCAAAACCAATAAATAAAACAATACAACGCGCGGGGGATTCAAGAGTTGGAGGTTTAAGTTTAGATCCGCAGGAGAAGGTTTTTCCTTCCCTTGTCTTTAATGCCTTGTAGTGGTCAGAAAGACGCCGGGTGTTTGCGCTGCTGCTAAAGGCAAAGCCCTAGGGTGCTGGGAGGCCCTGCCAGGGGCCTTGCAGGGCTTTGCAGGACTGCCCAACGCGTGGGCATTGCTGGGGTTGGGTGCTGACCCATGCGAGGCCTGTAAAAGCTGAGTGCTTCCTTGTGGAGCACCGTTATTCACTGCCATTAACCGTAACACGGGCCAAGCCCTCCCGCATTTCAGCTGTTTGGTGCAAACTGTGTGGCAGTATCCAAAGGCAAACCCCTAAAGGCTTGCACCGTTTCTCTTTTATGTCACTGCAACTTCTCTCTTATTTCAGGCTGGCCCTTTTATTACAGCTGATGCAGAAGCCCTACAGAATTGCTTTTGAAATGTATCATTTTTGCAATTCCAGAGTGACGGGCTAATGAAGCGTCACAGACGGTATTTATGGGCAAATAAAAGCTTGTTGGATAAACTCCTATATGTCCCCTCTTGTGCTCTGTTTTGGCTGAACAATTGATGGGTTACGTTGGGTCTTTGCTTATCAAACGGAGTTGCAGCTGCATCCACTTCAGTGCCATTTCAGGGAAAGAAAATTGATGCTGATAAGAGAAACGCAGGTCAGCTGTGTCACTCTGAATGTAGAGCATGAAACTTAATGACACAACATGCCAATTCCAGGAATCCAGGGAATAAATTCCCCTTGCTGTGTTGTGGTGATTGCTTCATGTGCAGCGATGCTGGGGCCCTGCAGCTCGTGGGCGCTCATCGATACCCGCTGATCGGGTGGCAGCCCCGGCTCTTGCAGAAGTTGGTTCATGGTCGCACGGGTCTCCCTTCGGCTCCGGAGGGAAAGGGAGCTGTCCCGGAGGCCGCCCCTTGCTGTGTTGTGGTGATTGCTTCACGTGCAGCGATGCTGGGGGCCCTGCAGCTCGTGGGTGCTCGTCGGACCCGCTGATCGGGTGGCAGCTCCAGCTCTTGCAGAAGTTGATTTGTGGTCGCACGGGTCTCCCTTCGGCTCCAGAGGGAAAGGGAGCTATCCCAGAGGCTGTGCTCCGTGCTGGGAAGAGGCTGCGCTCATCTGGCTACCTCCAAGGCCTGGTGTTCGGAACCGCGAAGTCCAACTGTAGAAACGTAACAGGGTTCCCCCAACCCAAAGCGAATCAGGTGCTGGAGCTGCTCGAACTTGTCACTCTTAAATGTGCAACTGCTGCGTGCTGGAACCCAGCCAGAGCGGGCGATGGTCCGTGATGAGGCAGGAGCTTCCACGAGGAGAGAACGTGGATTCCTCGAGCCTGGAGGGC